CTTATATAGATCGATATCTGTAAAACAAAACGGTGAATGAAATCTGGGCGAAATCGGATTTCCAGATGTTTGATTTTGCTGTTGGAATTTTGTAAAAATAGGAATATCTAATAAATAAATAAATTAGTTCATTGATCTGTCAGAATATATTCTAATTCATGAATCCGCTGTGTGGAAAACATAATTGTATAAGGAAATAAGTCATTTGAAGTAAAATTAAACTTAGCAACACTTTGGAAATTCATTCAAAATATTAAAGTATTGACTTCTTTATATAGATCGATATCTGTAGAACAAAACGGTGAATGAAATCCGGACAAAATCGGATTTCCAGATTTTTGATTTTGTTGTTGGAATTTTGTAAAAATAGGAATATTTAATAAATAAATTAATTAGTTGATTGATCTGTCAGAATATATTCTAATTCATGAATCCAATTGCATGGAAAACATAATTGTATAAGGAAAACATAATTGTATAAGGAAAACAAATCATTTGAAGTAAAATTAATCTTAGCAACACTTTGGAAATTCATTCGAAATATTAAAGTAGAGACTTCCTTATATAGATCGATATCTGTAAAACAAAACGGTGAATGAAATCTGGACGAAATCGGATTTCCAGATTCTTGATTTTGTTGTTGGAAATTTGTAAAAAGAGAACTATCTTATTAGATGATTAGCTGATTGATCTGTCAGAATATATTCTAATTCATGAATCCGACTACGTGGAAAATAATACTGGATACCCAGAACGAGCAATCCGACAGTCGGATCGCGTCGGATCCTATCGAAAAAATTATCGAGTTTTATCGAATCCGATGGCAATTCGTCGGAATCCTTGGTATCGGATTCCGACAGGAAGTTGTCGGATGTTGGAAAGTGTCGAAAGTGGACGGGATCTTGTCGGAACTCTGAAAATCCGACACTTTCCAACATCCGACAACTTCCGACTAATTTCCATCGGATCCGATGGTGTGAGATCGGCCTGGGTATTCTGCATTCTTATATAATCCGACAAGTTCCGATACCAGTGATTGATCGGTTTTATCATGGAATCCGGTGTCACTTGAAACCGCAAAATCCGGCGATTTCTTGACATCAGATTCCCCGGAATCCCATCGGAAGCGAACAGATCTTGAGATCGGATCTGACCAGTTCCGAATATATGAATCTAGTCGGAACTCGATGAATCCGACCGGTGGATATCAAAGGAAAACAGTGGATAGCATCGGAATCCGACAAAAAGTAACCGACCGAATCCGATTAGCCGTATCTCAACGGATTTGAAACCTATCCGACAGGATCCGACATAGCTAGTTCGACCTGGGTTTGATTTTCTAATTAGAAAATCAAGAGCGAATTCATATAGGCATTCCTAGAATTTCGGATTCGATATAGCAATTCGAACATATTCTATGAATTGGAAAATCAAATTTGATTTTTATCTTCATCATGTAATTTATTTTGTTTTATTTCATTTTATTTGTATTGAAAATGACATAAGGCGCAAATACAAAATTATAATATAAAGAAAAACATTTCAAAAACTAATAACAAGTAAAACAATAAGTACCGAACATAAATACAAAAATATAAGATACAAAAAAAAAGTTTAGAAATAACATGCAAGTGTATCTAAATATTGCATGATGATGAGTTATTTACTTTATGTCCATTCAAAAACCGTTTAGCAGCTAATGATACGCAAAACGATCTTTTTGTGAATGATAAACCATTGAGAACTTCTAATGTTGCACGTATTTTTGATGGATATTCTATATTAAATATTTCATATGACCCAATTAAAATAGCCATTGCTTCAACTTGTGAATTTGTTGAAATAAGACGATTATATTCAATAATAATAGCATAATCTTTAAATTTGTCAATTGATTGTATTTGTATCATAGGATGAGCATCAATTACTTCCTAAAATAAACAATAATAAAATAAACGATGATTACTATGTAATCATTTCACTTGTATAAGAAATTACTTACGTGATTTAATAACAATTTTTTTGAATGTTTGAAACGTTTCATTATCAAATGTTCCAGAATAAAAAATGGTTGTTCTTCTAAAATAAAGAAAATAAAAAAATATTAATAAAAATAAATTACCTTCACGAACATCTTCTTTCCGAGGATGGTCAACATATTTAATTAATTTTGTACATACTGATGTTAATGTTTTAACAATATCGCCACCAAATGGATCACAACGAAGATTAATTTCACGAATTAACTATTAAAAAAGAAAAGAAATAAATATACAGTTATGTTATTGAGAATTTATAAACTTCTTTAAATGATCTATCTAAATTGTGTAGCTTTACTCCAAGCTGATTATGAATCAATAAACAATATACTCTCAAATACTTACCAAATTGGTTATTGCTAAAGCTGGATATAATTCAACAATATCTTTGACAGGCTTCATCTCTTGGACAAGTTGTTTACGATGTGAATATGTTGCATCCATTTTTGATTTAACTTGACTATAATCATAATTTGTTGTGTTGATCATAACACGCATTGATTCAGCGTGTTGATACAATTGCATTAATAATTCTTGTGGCTGTTGATTTTCTTCAACAATATATTCCTGAAAAGAAGAACTTAGAAAAAACATAATAAAATTTTAAGCCTTACTCGTCGAGAAGCAAGTTCAAGTTTTATAAATTTCAATTTTCTTCCTGATGATTGATGACCATATGATTGTCGTTTTTTTTCTAATACTTCTGATAAACAATTGGATGCTTTTCGATCACGAGAAAATTGTTGTTTTAATGCAGATGTTAATACACTCTAAATATAAAAACAAAAATAAAATAAAATAAATATTAAAAAAGAAAATCTATCAAACATACCATATCTTCACCAAATATTTTAGTGAGTGTTGGAATTTTATTTTTAACACTTACTACCATTCGATCAAATTCATATGCTGTTGGATAAAAGCCAATACCATACGTATTTACTACATCATCACGAATTGTTTTAACTAATTGTTGTTTCATTGTACATCGTGGTCCAAAATTAGCTAATGATGGATCTTCAGCAGCTTCTACAAATGCTCTACTAAATGATGGAAGTACATAATTTAATGGAAATTTTTTTCTTAATTGAGGTAACGAATTTGCTACACTATCACTCGATGTTTGATTAATTATTCGATCAGGTAATACTTCACGAGATAATGGAGAAGTTGTTATTGTTGGAATTTGATCGAAAGATGAACTTGATGTATTTAAATCTGAACTCGATATTGTTAAACTGTGTTGCTGATCAATACTATCATTATCATTATCAATACGAAAATCATCGAAAAATGATAAATTATTTGATTGATTTGTGCGTAATTGTTCAATCAGTATATCAGATTGCTTTTCATTTAATGTCATAATTGTACTAGAATGATAAGAGAAAACATAGTTGATCAATTGAATAAATGAACAAAACTTACTTATGATTCGAAAAAACGTTTTCTTTTAATTGTATGAGTTTTTTATTAAATGTTGTTTTAAGCCCAATAGTTGGTTTTTTTATCACATTATCGTCGGTAATGATTGATAATAATTCCTCAATCGATGTTGGACTTAAATTTAATAAAGATAATCCATCGATTTCTTCTTCTAAAATAGATAAACAAGATTTAGTTAATGAGTAAAGAACCATTTGCGAATACCTTTAAATTTAGCTACATATTTACTAAATCCGTTATCGATCAACCATCTCGAAACATCATCATTCGACCAATCCATAGACTATTTATCTAGGATAAATTTTAAAAAAGTAAAATACTAGATCTTTTATTAACAAAAGAATGAATAATATTTGCAAACATATGAAGTATATATATTTTATAATTACATAAAAATTATTCAACATGTGTTAAACGATAAGGCACACGAACAAAATAAGAATTGTTCAAAAAATAACAGTCTTCTGCCTTATATGTCAAAAATTCATTCTCTCCTAATACTACATATGCATTCGATGGACTGATTTCATAACAATGTAAATTTTCTCTAAATGATATTGTTTCATAACAATGTACAATAAACCTCCATGCTTTTTTATTATTAATAATATATTTTATTTCACCAAATAAAGGAATTTCTTCTCCATCTAACAGATAAAAAACAAAAACATCTCCAATTTTTTACTTGATGTTATTTAATACCACCCATTTAACATATTCTATCAGTTCATCATAATCAAATAAATAATCATCACGTAATGAATTTTGTATTTCTTTTCTAAAACTTATTTTTCGTCGTGAATGAAATTTACCACTAATACCACTACATTTAAATATATTTTCCTCCATTAATTCATAACATTGACGTAGTTGTACACGCTTGGATATGGTACACGGCAAATTAATATAATTATTACACCTATTTGCAATCTTTTTTAATAAATGGTGCTTTGATTCGTAACGTAAATTCATTTGTCGTTTTAATGGACCATATTTAGCAGTATTACGTGCAGCATGAAGAAGAAAATGACATTTTGGAATAAATTGTTCTGGAAAAATCGTTTGAAATAATTGTAAAAATTCTTGAATTAAGTCTTCAAGAGTTGGAAGCCAAGATTTTCTTGGATAATCACTATATAGAATATCCCATATCTGTCGTAGTAATTCATATAAAAACCAATAAGGTATTCGATCAACAATATCCATTAATATAAATGGTAAATTTAAAAATAAACAATATTTTTCCATAGCTTTACCTAAAAAACAAATATAAAATAATTGTAGTATCATACGGATAAAAAAATATTTACCAGGAACTCGTTTATCATGAATCTCTTTTTCTTTAAATGTTGGTGGTCGATTTCGTCTATCATTTATTCCATATATAAAATTATTTATTCTATAACAGATTTGAGCTGATGTACATAAACGAGTAGATACAATCGTATGTAATAAAGAACTTATGATTTTTGGCATGATACCCTCCAATCAGGGTTGCCAGATCTTCTGAAATGGCAGGAAAGCTTCTGAATTTCAAAACTTTTTCTGATTTTATTCTGACCTTCTGATTTTTCTGATTTTTCAGGTTTTTTTCGATTTTTCTGGTTTTACTGTTTCGCTACGATATTTGTCCAAATTCTATTTCTGAATGAAGACTTTTCTCAAATTGATTACGATCATAATCGTTAGCCATATGAAACATGTATGGTCTGATTATCGTAATTGCATGGACATAAAACTAGTTAGTGCTGAACTTAAAATAAGAATGAATGCTAATTATTTTTGTGAACAGTTCTAAAAACATATTTCAACTGATAAACATTTATTGCAGCAAATTCGAAAAATGAAAAATATCAATAGTATGGTACTTATATTGAATGAGTCGTTTTTTTAAATATCTCTTGATGTATATACTGTATTTCTCGGTTTGTTTTTGCTCATTTTATGTGAAAAACGTTTTGAGTTTAGTAAAAAGTCTGATAATAGATGTCTTTTGCTAGTTTGTGTGATATTCGGTGAACTACATATTCTTATTATTATTGTTTTTTTATGTTAAATATCTTCGAAAATAAATGAAGAATAGATGAACAAATTACAACTAAAGCATTTTATAATAGTTTGGTAAAATAATAAGTGCCAATTTCAACATATTAGCCTTTCTGATTATTTTCTGATTTTCGAAAAAAAATTCTGAATATTTTCTGATTTTGATAGTCGGAATTTCTGATTTTTAAATTTTTGATCTGGCAACCCTGCCTCCAATATATCATGCATGATATCTGGAGGTAGGGAGGTAATTGGATTAAATGATAATAGTGTAGAAAGAATTGATTTTTCATTAACACCATATAACGATTTATCATTAGGAACATTGTCAATATGTTTCACATGAAAATCATGTGATGCAGCTGTACGAATTAAAACATCTGCCTCTCTGTAAACATATTTCATGTCTTTATGATGTATAAGACAATATCGACAACATCGACCTGAATTAAATGAACAAGTGAATCCACCAAGTTCATGTGCTAAATAATAAAAAAAAATATTTATCAACTTAAAACATAACTCTACAACTATAATTATTGATCACATATATTAACATAACTTATAATAGTGATCACATAGATATATTATAACACAAAAAATTTTTCAAATAAATTTTAAATAAAAAATTTTTTACAATCATATTTATTCATGTTAAAGATTTATTAGAAAATTTACCAGCTAGATTATCTGCACAGAGAGTACTAATTGTAAAATAAGTAGGAGCTATATCACCAGGTAATATAAGACCATCATTTTCTAAACATTCAATATCTTTATTTAATAGATTAAATAATATTTGACGATTATTTTCATTTTCAAAATCTTTTCTATAGAATAATAATAATAAATGTATAAAATTTAACGAAGAATTATAACATGCTGGTAAATCATCTATAGATAAATAGAATGTTGTTAATTTATGTGCTGCATTCTTTCCCATCAATGGATTTATTACACCTATATCATCACAATATAATTGTAATAATATAGTGTTTTCTTTGATTTTCAAAATGCGATGTTGTCGACCTATTTCTCCATTTCGATAATGATAAATAATATCTTGTCCATCAAACTGACATATATATTTTTTTTCTCTTTTAATGCATTCATAAAAATCTTTTTTTTGAAATAAACACATCAATACGTCACATATTGGAATGTAATAAGCTTTATTACCCGTCGGTAATTGTATTTCTTTTGGTTTAATAAATTTGAAATAAAGTTCACAATCAGAAATAAATGACTCTTCATTTTTTGAAATTTCAAATAGAATTTTCTCAATATCACCATTAACATGACGTAATATAGGATTATCAAGATTAATATTCAATTTAGATAATAAGAATATTGAAAATGTTTCAAGTAATGAGCAAACAGATAAAGAGATTGTCTTCATTACAGCACCAGGTAGTATATGACCTTCACGAACTCTTAATAACATTTTAAGATAGAATTTTTTTATTTCTTCTAATTGATCATAGTGTTCATATTGTTCATATTCAGGTATTGTTAATTGTTCTTCAAAATCATCATTAACATCAGAATTAATAATATCATGATTAACACATAGATCTGGTGTAGGTATTTCGTCAAATAAAGAATGTAACATATGTTTACGAAAATGAGAAATAAATGATTTTAAATTAGTAAAAACAAATTTTGAATCGCACAAAGCACAAGGTGTACCAAATTGACGATCATTTATATGTACTTGTCGAATATGACGTATATATCCATTATTTCCATTAACATTAACGAAACAAATTGAACATTGTTGAACACAATTAATAGACATGAGGAAGATTTAAAGTAGAAAATGTGTTAAATAAATTAATAAAAGATTATATGATCGTAATCCTAAAAATGTAAAGAATAAACATTTTTGATAGATGAATGATTGTTTTACCATTATATTTTCATATAAAAATATTGATCATAAATGCAAAAACTGTATAAGAAAAAAAATATTTATTGAATAAGAATCTTTGTATTATCTAGAAGAAACAAAAGAAATGATTGTGCAATATATAGAAATGATAGTCCACCCGTAAGACGGCAATTGTACTTATTATGAACGAATAAGACGACGGTAACGCTTACTACGAATAAAGAAGACAATAGATACGACGTCGAAGCGAATCAAAATAAAATAAGAAGAATGTACTGACTAGAACGAAGTGATAATATAATATAAGTAAAAGAAAAGAATGAATATAATGAGAATAAAACAGAAATACATAGTAGATGAAAAAACTATTGATCTTTGAATAAAACTTCATTGAAGTTTTAAAACTCACGGAAGAAAAATGTATTATTTTTTCTCTGTAATAATAAGAAATGTCTTCATTATATTCAAGTTATTTTTTTAGATAGGGTAAATGATTTATATTTGATTAAAAAGAAAAAAATTATAGAAGATTTAACACCAATAGCTAGAATATATATATTTATTATTAAACATGAAAATTAACATATACCAAGTCATGTTTCTTTGGTTTTCAAAAAAAAATATTCACATACATAAATAAATGAGATTTGAGTTGAGCAGATAGAAGAAGCATTCTATTTTGATACATGCTTCTCTCTTGATAATGATTTTGATTTAACATGAGAAGTATTTAGAACTAAGGTATTCTATATATGAAAATTTATTCTAATTTTATTTGAATAGCTTAAAATGAACTAGAAATTAAGATTCAAAAGTGAAAGGCCTTTATGTATAAGCCTGGTATGAATTAAATCACAGAACATGCCACACATTGCGCGTTCAATATAATAGTTAATTATATGAGTTAATTTTGTAAATTGGTGAAGATGAACACGTCAAAGTTAAGAAAATGAATTTTTGCAAAATCGGAATTGATTTTCAAGTTTTATTTAAAATCAATGTTGATTTTATTTTTTGTAGAAAATGATTTATTTCGAAAATCAAATTGAATTTCTACAAATTCGAAAATCAAGCATTTTCGAATTTGTAGAAATTCAATGAGTAAGTCATAAAACTTTAAAAATCCTTTAGCTTTTTTAAGCTCGATTTTCCAATAAGTAGAATTTAAAAAAAATTTACAGTGTGGTTACCATGGATTACAGAATTTCATTTTTTCACATTGTAACATTTTTAACTTCTTAGTAATTCAAACAAATTGTCTGAAACTTTCGCCAAGAATCGAAATCGTTAAGATCTATTACCAGTACAAATTTTATCAATCATGCTTGACTACAGTAGAGTTATTGAACAAATACTGACCGTTGCGGAATTTCAAAAAATGGAATCTTTTAAAGATAGCCAAGAGTTGAACGCTTTTCTACGAAACACAGCAACACACAAATAACTGTTATATGCCAAAATTCTTGAGCTTTTAACAAGTTGCTAAAACATCCTATCATTTCTCATAGAACCTAGCTTCATCAAAGAGAAAATTTGTAATATTGTCTGTTACAAAATTTCACCGTTTTTTTATATATGAATGAGAAAAGTTTAAGCACTTGAAATTTCGAGCAATTATGATAGCAATTCATCTATTTCGGATCTAGAAGAATTACACAAATGTGCTTTTTGGTTTAAGTAGTTCAGTTTGATTATCAAAAAAATATCATTTTGTAATTCCTTCTAATGCGTAACATGAAAACAGTATAACTAAAAAGATTCTATCAGAAATCAACTATTGTTTTTTTACATACTATTTGAATATAATTTTGCACTGAATTTGATTAGTATCTAAAACATTCATCGGGTGAATCCTTCGAATATTAGGCACAGCCTTAGCCTTATCGAATAATAATCGAAGAGCTTGATGAGCTTGTTCATTATCACGAATTTATAATTTATCAATAAAATTGAAGTACTTTTTTATTTAACCAAATGTGAAAAGTCAGTTGCATTTTTGCATCGTTTGCCAACCATAACTTCTTGATAAATCGTTCGTTTAATCGTTCCTCCGAGTTTCGTTGCCACTCCAAGAAATATTTAGAAATTATGTCATAGATATTGTATATTTATTATGTAATAGATAATCCGATACTATAACCATGGGTAAGTGGCTCCTTGGACCCATATATAAGTAGTGAATAATGAATATTGTTTTCTTCACACATGAGCACTGTGAATTTTGTTTTGATTTACTAGAGCAAACTTTTCAGAATGATCAACTTGCATTAAACAGCACTGATCATTTACATTTTGTTTCATTAATTCGAAAAAATTTCGCTAGTTCTGTCTCAGAAAGACATAAACACAGAAAATGTATTACTGTGCTTGCTACCCTAGTGAAACATTTTGTAAGCAAGATTTTGGTCAAGATACAATGTACAGAAATGTTGACAGATCTTAGAAAATTAGGCACAAGATCATGAAATTATCTTGTATCAGGATCTGATTTCAGTTCTTCGGTACATTTCTACAAGACATTTGCTAACAGGTTTTCAAGATCGTCTGTCTAATATCTACTCTTTTATGATCCATCGTACTAATCTTTGCAACAGAAAATTTTATCTTGGTTAGTATTAATCAAGATGTATAAGATCTTAAGCTAATGTCTGTAAGTTCGAAATTTATTTAGTATACAATAAAAACAGATGTGAACGTATTATAAAAGTCTACTTTTGATAAGAAAAACATGATATAACAAGAAAAGATAACAAAATGTTTTGACATGTTCATCTTACTGATTTTTACGAATTAAAAAAATATGCATATATACATAAATACTTGGAATCAGGATAAATTACAAATTAGAAAAAAAATAGAAATGACATCTTGATATAATCTTAACTAGCTTTTACCTCTTTTTACTAACAAAAAATTTATATAGTCCCAGTTTTCTGATTTGATCCATTAATATTGGTCGATGGTAAATTTAGGTGTTGTTGATATTGCTACTAAATCCATTAATTGTTGTGATGTTGTTATTGTGTTGTCTTTTGACTTTTGCTTATATTTAACAGCATTATATGGCATCTGTACCATTGAATTGATGATTATTCACTACATTTGTGAAATATCTTCTCATAAAATCACGCATTTTTGTTGTATGAAATCTAAAGTAGAAAAATACTTAAAGCACTGTTATTAAAATCAATGGAGATTAACTAACAGATTTTCTTAAGCTCCAAGTGAAAATTATTTTAACGCAAGGCATTTATTTAAAGGGTTAAGGATTAAAAGATCATATGTTGTAGTTTATGCAAGTTTTAGGCCTTATCTAGGTGGACACACGTAGAGCTGGTTATCCTAAATCCGTAATCAAAATGTTTTTCAACTGACATTCATAACTTATTTTATGATTGAGACTCATTCAGCTTTCCCCCCAAAAAAACAGAGATACGCAGAAGGAAAACTATTTATTTTCCAAAAACATTTTGTACATAAATAAGTTCTACATAAGCTAGATTTAGATTAGCTTTTAACAATGATTCGTTTGGTTCAATAAAGTCTTTCTATTTAGAAAGTCCAAAATCAGAAATTTAATACAACTATCGCATTACTTTTGCTCGACCATTAATCGGAGCTTTCAAAGTGGTTGGATCAACATCAAAAATATCCTTGACAAAAAGCGAGTCAGGGAAAGGGACATTTCGCACCAACTTTTCATTACAATCTCCAGTAGCATATGTTCGTTACGATCTTCGGACCAAAGCAAAAAGACAGGGTGTTCGGAATTAAGTGGATGGCAGTTCGAAATGATAAAAATCAATCAAAAAGAACAGAGCGTTCGTAATGAAAGTTGTTCCGAAGCTCGTATAACAACAAAAACAGGGTGTTCGAAAATGTGTTCATGTTTGCTGTTTTTCAAGATGTGTTAAATAATTTACTAGTTATTATTTTAAGAAAGTACCCACGACGGATGAGGATGTTGAGTGTGAGCGTGGGTGAGGATCAGTAAATAGAAGACGTCACCCTTACACCCTCACCTACACCCTCACCTACACCCTCGCACCCTCACTCGTCTAACCAATAATTTTTGAACGTAGAGACTTTTAATTGTATAGTACTTCATTTCCCCAGAGATTAATGCTATCAATTATCAACATTATGAATAGGTTAAGGCACAAAACTCACAAACATCTTGTACAATTATTATAGCGTTATTTGTAGAGACAGAGAAAGCTAGATATTGTTTATATAAGTACGAAGATATTGTATGAATCATTCTTGATTTTAATAAAAAAAACTTGTTAGGGCAGCGCCTTTGAGGCTGAAATGTGGAACTCACATACATACTTCGGCTTCATTGTACTAATATGCAATATGGATAGTATAAAATCATGAATTTTTAATTTTCTGGCAGGCGCCCTTATTTCTCGTCTTCTTTGCTGCTATTCGCTCAGTATTTTTCATTTTTAATACTGCTTTTTTCTTTAATTTTACATTTTTATTATAAGAAGCATTGAATTATATGGCGAATGAAGCTGTTATATATATATGTATACGTACATCCATTATTTGAAACCTGATCGCTGAGGTCTGTAATGGAGGCCTATGTTGCTATGGTCTATAATGAGAGCCCGTCTGTAACGGGGGTAGCGCTATGTCTGTAACGTTCTCTTCCATTGCTGTGGTATGTAATGGGGGCCTCTCTGCAAGGGGGAGCAGATGGGGAGCCGCGAAACTTTCCATTTAAAACTTACACTAACTATTTTCTTCGAAAATATACGTGACTTCCACAAAAACGAAAAGAAAAGTCTTCATGATCCTTGCAAATATCAGAGTAAATCAGTTACCATCTCCTGACGAATTGGATCACAAACATGCCGTCCTTTTTATCTCGATCCTTAAATACCACTTCTCATACAGTA